AACGCTGCGGAGAACATTGGAACTTTCTGAAACAGTCTGAGTGAACGAACCATAGTAAACTGCGTATTAACGTCATGTAGAATGGGCGTCATGTGAAAACATATCGCCATACTGCATGATCTACTTGTAATGAGAGGTGGTCACCAGCCCAAAACGCGGTGGTCGCTTTGACCACCCGGTCGTGCGGGAAACTACCGTATAAATAACGCGACGCAATACTGGAGACACGTTGTTTTTCTTCGATCGCTGTGGCCGAAGTGGCCGATTGTCTCTCCCCCTCCCGTTCTGCCACGAGCCCCGATAGGAGCTCTCTCTTTAATCTTCACACGCTTTTATCTTGTTTCTCAAAATTGTTGTTGTTTGAAATAATAAATTTTATTTCGTTGATTTCGTGTCGCTCTAGACCTTGGAGAAACCGGATCTAACCAAATAGATTCAGACGCGCTTGTAGAGCCACGCTGAGTTGACATGGGGGCCAAGAAACCCAAGGCGGACATGAGCGACGAGGAAATGGAGCAAGACGATCAGGTCAGGTTTTCTTCCGATCCAAGAATACAAAGTGAACCACCGCTTCTGAGCGAGAGCGCCGCTATTACAAAGGCCTGTGATGAAGCCCTCAGTAACAATATTAGGAATCTGTCTGGACCCAAAAGGGCAGCCATTTTGAATGCGGTGGAGGCTGCCGTGACAGCTGTGAGGGATGAGGTAGAGAGACCCCACAGCGAAATAAGAGATCTAAAAGAGTTTCTGTCGGAAAGCGGGCTATCCGTTCCACAACTACGGTCAGTGTTGCAGGAGGCAGAGATTAACCTGGGGCTAATCGATACATTGACCGGGGTGATGAAGTGCGGACGGGCTCACCTAGCTGATGCGGTGATAAGCCTACAGCAGGAAAGAGATCACTTGACACATAAAGTGACGCTTTTGCAGGAACAAGTCAAGAGATACAGTCAGCCGAGAGCGGCGGTTGAAGAGCGCCCAGAAGAAGCGCAAGGTAAGACGTTTTCTTGGCGGAAGCTCAGTGAACGATTGATATCGTCCATCGAACACAAAGACGGACTGAATATGCAGGTGCCCGGCGAATCTCATGGGAAGACAGATGGACAGTGGAAGCACCCGAGTCAGGACTTGCAAGGAGGATTGCAAGATGGTGCGAGAAAATATTCCCTGTCCGAGAAGACGAGTGAGTCTGAACTATCTTTCTATTCAGAAAAATTGGAACAGAACGACCCGACGTCCGGTACAAACCCCAATCATTCTGAAATGTGGGATATTTTCAAGGCGATGCTAAAAGCTCAAACCGCAGCAAATGTTGAGAGGTATACAGGGAAAACCTCGTTGAATGACTTCTTGAGAGCCTTCAATATAAAATATCCACAACAGTCTTGGAGTAACCATGAGCGGCGTGATATATTGGTGTCCCTGCTAGATGGCCCAGCTAAACTAATGTACAGCAACCTTTCGAGAGGTATCCAGGAAGGGTCATTTGAGGACATCGTAGAAGCACTAGAGAGGGCTAGGAGAGACCCGTGTAAAAAGCTAAAGAAAATAGAGGAGTGGGACAGGCTGCGCAAAAGAGACTGCGAAACAGTTGAGGAATTTTGTTATAGAATGGAATCAATATCGAGGGAAATTCATAGCGATGGTGACAGGGATTTCCTTCTGGGTTCCAAGCTGCATACATGTCTCTCAGATTGGAATGATTCCTACCACATGTTAACCGCACTCGAAGCTCCCCATGGTATGGTCTATCAATCAGTACGTAACGCGGCACTGCGACTTGAGAGGGGGCGCGAAGCAGTCCGGACAAAACTACAATCACACAGATATCAGAGACAAGATCAGATTGACCGTGCTAAGCATAGCGGGCATGGCAAAGCTGAGAATGGGGAAGTGGTGTCGGTAGACGGAGCAAACGGGAAAAATGTCCCCACGAGGAAAACTAAATGTTTCAAATGTGGAGAAATGGGACACTACGCGAGAAATTGCCCAAATGCCAACGCCCAGGTGTCGCCCCCACACAGCAACAGACAAAAGCGAAAGTCGTACGAAGAAAAGCCAGTGGGGTCCTTCTCAGCCCACCTAGAGAAGTGGTGTGGGGCAGTGGTCAACGAGAACAATAAAGAAGTGATGACTGAAGCATACGGGAAGCCACTCATATGCAGAGTGCAGATGCTCGGCATGACGGTAGATGCTATGGTAGATACGGGATCAGTAGTGTCCATTGTGCCCCTTGGTGTGTTGTTGGAAGCGAAAAATAGAAGGATCGATTTGGACCAGCTAGTGACCATAATGGGAGACGGTAATTCTCAAAGGGTTATGGACGCCTCAGGAAACACTATGAGCTTTCTTATGCTCATAGCTACAGAGGTCAATGTACAGGGAGCAGGTCAAGCTTGCGTACAGCTACATATCCAAAGGAAGTAAGGACCGCGTAGTACTGTTAGGGATGAATGCGCTCAAGGCGTTGAATATTCCACATTCAATTTGGTGAGCACAGGGTGCAAGCAAGAGACCAGGGGTCAAAAAAAGCAAATGGCTTAGTTCAGGCAATTCACAGGCACGTCATCCCGGCAAGAGGGATTTCCACAGTAGCAGTATCAGGGAATACCGATTTCGATGAGTGCATTTTTTGGTCCAACAACAGTCGAATCTCCTCAGGTGTGTTGAAGGTATCACATGGTGAAGCACTAGTGTCTGTTAGGAACAGCACTATGGAGCCGTGGGTGATCCGAGAAGGCGAAACACTCGGCAAATGGGGTGAAGAGGAATGGCACGATCCCAGGACCCGAGACCTTCCTGGAGATATGCTAGAGTTGTCCCGCAATCTCCCCCGAATAGAGGCTAACCGGATCGAAGATCTTTTAGAAATACTCAGTTGCAATCGCAAGGCTGGGCAGCTCCCCGGAAATCTAATGAAGCTCATAACTAAGTATGAGGACGTATTTGCCATATCTGACTTGGAGCTCACCCAGACGGATCTGGTACATCACAGTATCGATGTAGGAGGTAATTCCCCCGTGAAGCAGCGTACTCGACCCGTGCCTTATGCCTTGCGTAGTCAAGTGGGTGAGATGCTAGTCGACCTGAAAGGGAGAGGAATCATTGAGGAAAGCTCCTCACCTTGGGCTTCACCAATAGTACTGGTGGCTAAAAAAGATGGATCTATTCGACTTTGTGTCGACTACAGAGAAGTAAATAAACGAATCAAAAAGGACAGTTATCCCCTGCCACCCATCGATGTGACGCTTCAGAACCTTCGTGGGAAAAAGTACTTCACATCGCTGGACCTAGCGAGCGGCTATTGGCAAATCCCTTTAGACAAAGAAGCTAAGGAGGTCAGCGCATTTACCACGACGGCTGGATTATTCCAATTCCGAGTGCTCCCTTTCGGCCTTTCGACGGCACCGGCGGTATTCCAGAGGTTAATGGAAAGGGTTCTAGGGCCGCTTATGGGAACAGAAGTGTCAGTTTACATCGACGACATGCTCGTGGCAACCGAGACGCTGGAGCGTCACTTGGAGGTTCTGGAACAGGTCTTTCAAGCGCTGCGTAGGGCGCACTTGAAACTTAAACCCCAAAAATGCCGTATTCTGGAAACTTGCATAGAATTCCTGGGACATGTGGTGGATCAGGACGGACTGCGAACAGACCCCGGAAAAATCGAGAAAATTCGCGAATACCCGCAGCCAAGAAATTTAGCGCAACTGAGAACCTTCCTTGGGATGACAGGCTACTACCGAAAATTCATTTTTCGGTATGCACACATAGCGCAGCCGTTATACGATCTTACAAGTACAAAGTCATTATTTTTGTGGTCAGACAAGCATAGCCAAGCATTCGCAACTCTGAAAGAGCTTCTGACGAGGGCGCCAGTGTTAGGGCAACCCGACGTCGAGGCAGCACGGAACGGAACGCGCCCCTTCTTCATCTATACGGATGCTAGTCGTAGTGGTGTCGGTGCGGTTCTAGCACAAGAAGGGGATGATCACCTGATTCACCCCCTACATTTCGCGTCCCGAGGGTTATCCCGTGCAGAGAGGAATTACCATATCACTGATCAGGAGGCGCTTGGAGTCATGTTCGCAGTGAAGAAATTCCACTATTTTATATATGGAGTGCGTACCATTGTGAGGACGGACCACTCCGCTCTCACTTCCTTATTTAAACGTGCTAACGTCTCTCCACGTGTTCTCAGATGGGCACTCGAGTTACAACGATACGATCTGCAGATCGAATATGTGAAGGGTGCAGCAAACAACGTGGCGGACGCACTCTCAAGAGGAGCGGTTCCCGACAAAGACCTAGAAATGTTTAGGGAAGCCGAAATGGAGAAGGTTGTGGCAGTTGTGAAAGATCTGGACTGGCTCGAGGAACTAAGGGAGGATGAAGAATTCAGGACGGTGATAGAGTCAGCAGAAGCTCGAAAAGACGACGAAATCAGGTTCAAACGGCATGCAAGGAAACTCACCACGGCAGACTTCGAACTCAAGGATGGAAAGCTGCGGTTGATTCGTGAAGACGGCTCCAAAGTGAACGTGATTCCCAGGAGCAAACGACGCGAACTCTTCACAGAAGTACACCACGGAATTATGGGAGGCCATTTTAATGCTAAGAAAATGATGGCTCAAATGGGAAAGGTGGCATTCTGGCCGGGAATGAAGCAGGACATTGCAAAATGGTGCCAGGAATGTCAAACATGCTTCGTGAACAACGTACATAAGGTCAACACGCCTCCACTGAAACCACTCATCGTATCCAGACCATTTGAGATTATAGGAATCGACTTGCTTGAGATGGGCACATCAAGCAGAGGGAACAGATATATAGTGACGATAATTGATCACTTTACAAAATTTTTGGGCGCATACCCAGTACCAAACAAGAAAGCCGAGACGGTAGCGGAGGTTCTGTTTAGTCAGTGGATCTGTGGCACAGGAAGGTGGCCCGAAACAGTGCTATCTGATCGGGGAGCAGAATTTGAAAATGCCATCGTGACAGCACTGTGTGACATAATGGGCATCAAACAGCAGTTCACCAAAGGATACTGCCCCAGGGAAAATGGTGTGACTGAAAGAGTAAATGGTACCATTGTTCGCATGCTAAGAAAGAAAACGATAGTGCCAGCGGAATGGGATATCATATTACCTACCGTTGTCTATGCTTACAACGCATGTCCGCACGAATCAACAGGGGAAAGTCCCCATTTCCTTCTGTACGGCCAAGACCCAAAATACCCATCGCAGGTTATTCCCACAGAACACCTATCACCCTGCGCAGTGGATTATGATCAGTATAAAACCGAGTTTTTAGCAGGCCTAAAACTTGCGCGTGAGTGTATATCTCTTAATTTGGAAGAATATCGAAAGAAAATGAAAGAACAATATGACAAACGTTTCAAAACTGACAAGGCTTCGATAATAAAGGAAGGAGACCGCGTTTATGTAAAAGTTCCACATGAAAAAGGCAAGGCATCCTATCCAAAATTGGCCACGGATTGGTCGGGCCCCTACAGAGTTATAGAAAGCAGCGCAAATTCAGCTCTGGTAACTCTTATAGGTGAAAATAAAGAGCCAATAAGAGTGCAGTGGGACCATCTTCTAAAGCTACCTCAAACAATCGGCAATACCCCTCTAAAAACTAAAGGTGTTCGCGGACGACGGGGTCGTAGATGCAGCCTACTAGTAACAAGCTGTTGCAGAACAATTCGTAATCAGCCGTGTTTCAGAGAATCGTCGATGACAGCTACGAATCCTGTCCACATTGACTTCATCTGTCCTGGCGGATTGTCCATTGACGGTCAGCGGCTGCCCTGCGCATCAAACATGACATGGCGAGAAATCTCAGGATCTCGGAACTCTCCAGTGGACAGCCTATTGTTCGATAGCGTCTATAAGTTGGCTCGTGTTGCCACGATTATGTCCCAGACCCATACCTCGCTGGAAATGCGGATGGCCCGCATACTAGATCCTGCTACGACGCGCTCTCACCTACAGGACTTGGATTTGCAATTTCCTTCTTTTCGGCCAAATGCTTACATGTGATGCAAGGGATGCAGGCCAAGATTTTCCACAGGACACCAAAACTGCGAGCCTCATCCTCGTCGTACAAATGAAGATCCGTACGACCTGCCAAGTCTGTTCGATTACGCATGCAGTTGGGCGCAGGCCCATCCATGGAGCGAAGACTTGTGGAAAAGTTTACCACCGAAAAAGTCCTTGGTTCTGTTACCATTCGAGTTCAAAGAACACGTTTACTCGATACAGTCGCACTGTCAACTGGTACATGTATATTCGAAACCGGATGACGTGCAGGAAAGCTGGTGTCAAGATGAATATTCCGCCGTCGTACTTTTCAGCCCTTCGAAGGCCTTTGATAGCGGAGCGTGGGCCAAAGCATGGCAACTTATACTTGCAATGATTTCGGACGGAATCGAACTTTTCGTCTTGGGATGCCCCCGAGACAGCAGACAGTGGCCGAAAGCAATTGATGGATTACGAGATATGTGCGAGGAAACCGTTGCACAACGGCCGAAGTTGCAGAGTAGAATCAAATGTTTGTTGATGACAAAAAGTGAAGAAACTCTCGCACTACATCCATGTAACGTCATTACAGAGAACACAGGAATGCGCTCTTACCCGCCAAGTGCGGTCAAGAAGTTCTACGAAGCCACACGCGCGTTCTGTATAGCGCATATAAGGCTCACGCCATACTATGAAATACGGACAAAAGAAGAAGCTCAAAGAAATAAACCGTGTCTTATGAAGGAGGACAATGGGCAAGAAGAGAGGTACTATCAGCACGGAAGACCACCCCCGCGATTCTGCCCGAAGAAATGCGGATTCAAGAAACCATACTTCCGGAGCCACGACCCTCCAATGAGATACAGACGTCCGAGTTCTGGAAACTATCGCGGGCCTAACCCTAGGAATGTCGGCGAACGGTGGCCCCACCCGAGAAAGAATTTCTACAGAGGCTGAGTGGAACAGCCTTTTCTATGGGGGGAGGCATGTAATGAGAGGTGGTCACCAGCCCAAAACGCGGTGGTCGCTTTGACCACCCGGTCGTGCGGGAAACTACCGTATAAATAACGCGACGCAATACTGGAGACACGTTGTTTTTCTTCGATCGCTGTGGCCGAAGTGGCCGATTGTCTCTCCCCCTCCCGTTCTGCCACGAGCCCCGATAGGAGCTCTCTCTTTAATCTTCACACGCTTTTATCTTGTTTCTCAAAATTGTTGTTGTTTGAAATAATAAATTTTATTTCGTTGATTTCGTGTCGCTCTAGACCTTGGAGAAACCGGATCTAACCAAATAGATTCAGACGCGCTTGTAGAGCCACGCTGAGTTGACATGGGGGCCAAGAAGCCCAAGGCGGACATGAGCGATGAGGAAATGGACGAAGGAGATCAGG